CCCTGCCAGGGCTGGCCACCAGCATCTCTTGCCAGGCAGCACACGCTCACAGAGAAGCACCACAGGAAGATGGCAGATCTTGCTGTGAACTCAGAACACGTTCCTGATCTTGCTGAGTTTCAGCTCTGAAAGGAGGGCAAGCGTCAGGCTTACCAAACCGGGCAGAGTTGCTGTCAGCTGCTTCACCACTATCTCATTGACTGAGAGGGAGAGTATGCTGCAAAGGAAAGAAAAAAATTTCTAGCCACTACAAACAACAGCTCGAGGCCATCAGAACAGGGGACCCTCCAGCCTCCCCTTTACACACTGCTCCGTCCCTTGTCACCCCTTGCAGCTGACACTGGCATGAGCAGCGGCTGTGCTGGAGGCAGGAGGGCAAGGAGCTGCTCGCCTCACCCAGCATAGGGACAACTGGGCTAATCTTGCCATGTCGCCCAAGTTTGGTCTCTCCCTCCAGTACTTACATTGGTGCTGTAGTTAAGGGAAGGTGGAGCTGTTGTGAACCATCTCCATGTTAGTTATGGGAAACAAACAACTTGCATGTGGAATAACAAGAGGAGAAATCTGCTGTGTAACATTTCAACACTGCTGCTAAATAGATCACTGTGGGACGTGCAGTGCCTGCAGGCAGTGCAGAACCATTTACTTTTGATAATCAATATATTTCTGGACTGTTGAGTTAAAACGTGCAGCAGCACACTTGGCAAGCCACAGACAGCAAGAATTCATAATGCATCTCATTATTTATGCCCAAGTTCTGCCTTTAGATGCATCAGAGGAACTGCCACAAAGTCAATTGTGTACATCCACACTCCTCCTTACCCCACAGGGAGCTCGCTTCCTGCACACCGTCACTTAAATCCTGCTAAAACTTAAAATATGACCCCCAGAACGGTGAACGATGTGCTCCTCTGCTCACTTACAGCCTCTTTCAAACCAGCTGCTGTGCTGATTGAAATATAATGTATAATGCAAAAATTAATTAGGAGAAAATCAATGAACCTGAAAAGTGAGTAATTCAAAAGCAATAAAAGAAAACATTTCCCATGATCAATTTACTGTAGCATTCGTCAATACACAAAGTCAGCAAATTCCTTCTGCCAAGAATTTAATAAGACTGAGCAAGAGATAGGACATTTGCATGGAATTACACACCCCCGCAGCAGTCAGACCCAAAGCCCATATGTCCAGCATCTTTCTGTGACAGCAGCCAAAGCAGAGCATAAAACCAGGTGCTCTTTTCCTAGAGCAGTCCCTGCCCTGTTGTCCCTACCCTTTGGATACCAGCTCAGCCTAGAGGAAGTGTACTGGAAGCGGTACCAAACCCCATACTTCATTCAGATCCTAAAATTTCCACAGGCAAGCAGGGCAAATTAACCCTCATCTTTCAAAAAAAAAGTTTTTACCAGCTCCACTGAAGCAACTGGCTTTGGCAACGGGAAGGAAATTGCCAGCCTGAGGCCTGGCTCTGTGTCAGCTTAGCACCGTCTGTGTCCTGGCAGACGGTCTCAGGGACTGGATGAAGAGAAGAGGACTCTATGCAATGGGAAACATAAATCCACAGGCACTTACCCAGAAAGGACCTTGATCTTTATGGTACCAAGAACACAGAGGCAGTCTTCAACGACGACCTGGACTGCGCCCGATTCGAAATTTGTGCATTTAATGTTTGCAGTAATGTTCACATCCACCAAGATATCAATCAGGTCTGAAAGAAGGCCAACCAAGCTGAAAAAAAGTAAAGGGGTTGAAGAGATATCATCTCTCAGCCTCCAACCAGAGAAATGCAGCAAAGCCAGAAGCAACAAACTGCGCTGCCATCTCCTTCCATTCATTACAAAAGCCACAAGTCATCTTTTGGTGCCCGTTCTGCTCGGCGGCTTTACTCTAGGTAAGAAACACCAAGAAGTCCATCCAAAGATGCCAAACATTGCCCAGCAGAAGTGTGTGGGTGGGGGCTTCCCTTCACAGCCGCTGTGACAGCCCACACTCACCAGTTGCCACTGAGCTCCAGCTTTGTGACGATGGTCAGCTGGACCCCGATTCCCGGCAGCAGCACCACGAAGAGCTTGGGGAGCCGGACCCTGACAAGGTGCAGGCTGCGAACAACAGCAAGAGCTGGCACAAATTAAAAGCATCTTCTAACAGCCGAGCAGCTGTTCCCTTCTGAGGAACCTCCAGCACCCAGAGCACCACGGCCACCTCCAGCCAGGGGCACGGCTGCTCTGAGCGGGAGCTCTGAGCAGGAGGTAGCAGCTCGGCGGGGGAGAGACAGTCTGCAGCTGAAACCCGGAGGAGTGCAACCTAGAGCCAGACTGGGGTGGAAGCAAACTTTATAGAGCAGTCAGCTTTTTCTCTGCGGCCCCTTCCTCCCTCCCTCAGTGCTGTGAAGCATCTCAGATACCAACGGCAGCATCGGAGCCCTCCTTCTGCATCTGCATCCATAACCTGCCGTGCACTTCATCGTCCACCTTGCTGCCATGCAGAAAACTTCTAGTGGGTCAGAATTTCAGTGTCAAAATAAACCGAGGAGAACTGCTTGGGCCATTCGTGCCAGCTGCAGCTCAGCTTTTGTTGCTTTGGGATTGGAGGTGAAGGCGCGCTCCCCCTCGCCACTTACCCGGTGATGCTGGTGGGAGAGTTCAGCAGACCCCCTTCACCCACGATGTTTGGGACCACCATGCCCTGCAGGTGCTGCTGGAGGAGCCCCTTCTGAATTATGGCCTCCGAGAGAACTGCAAAACATCTCTGCGTGGGGGCCGGCACTTGCAGCAATGACCTCTCTCCATTCAGTCAGATCTGCCCCGGCAAGGGCAGTACACCAGAAAGCCCCTCGGCTCCCCAAAACCCCTTAGCATCAAACCCCATCAGCTGCCTCAATGCACTGAAATCACACAGGGGATGGTATTTTAAAATGTGCACTGAAGCAAAGCTGCCCTTCGTGAATTTACCAGGAGGGAGAGAGGTGGAGAGCATCCCAGACCTCCGAGCAGAAGATTGCAGCACGGCTCTGCTCGGCCAGAGACAACAGCAAGCCCGCTCAGCGGCTGTGCTTCAGCTCACAACTCGTTTCCCATTTGCAAAGGGGTTTTGTTTATTTGTTTGTATTTTTTAATAGAAGCAACTTGAAACAAGTATCTTTTTTTTCTTTTTGCTGGAGCATTGCAAATATTAACACAGCTGCTAAACTCCACGGCAGTTGTTTGCCAAATATCAGCTGCTCCAATGAGAAACTAAGACAAAAAGAGGAAATAATCCAGCTCTAGCCCTGACATTCCGCGTGGCTGCCTGGTGCTGAAACGTGTCCCAGCTCTGGAGCAGAGATTTCCCTGACCCGTGAACCCAGTGATGGCTGTCACCAGCTCTGAGCAAGGTCTGCAGCCCTGAGGAACCACGCAATAAAGACAAAGACAGCAGAGGTTTTACTCCACATCACCATCCCACAGAGCTTTCAAAGCAAACATAATGAAACATAATTCCTGATTTCTTGTTACCATTCTGCATTGCCCCTGGACTGACGGCGCAGGACAGGCCGGACAAGACTTCTTGAGATGGTGAGAAGAGGCCACAGAAAAAGAGAATTCCAAAAAGCTTCAACATTGTCATGTCCCGAAGGCTGCCCTGCTGGCAAGGGAGACGTCAGAGTCAAACCCAGTTGCTTTTCAGGTTGGGCCAGCCAGGGGCTGGGCCGGCTTGCCTAGCCTGTGTGTTTGCCAAGAAAGGTTGGATCAGATGAATCTCAAGGTCCCTTCCAACCCGGTATTCTACGATTCTGTGGAAAGTGAGGGAAAGACTCTAAGAAGGGATCTCAGTGTCTCTGCAAGGAAAGAGTACAAGTGAGAAAACCCTTCTCTATTTTTTGCCGAGCTCAAGGACAGCTCTGCTTGTGAAGAAGGAGATGAGTAGCACGCCCATATCCGAAAAATAAATTCACGCGTGTAGTTAAATTAAATTTATTTACAGGATATAAGCTCCTCCCAATTTAAAGGTTCGGTATCGGTTGAGAAAAAGATCAAGCTCACGCACTAGCCCTTGACAAAAGAATGATAATCCGGATTATCATACACTCACCTCAATCAAGCCAGGGGTTCCCTTTCTCGTCTTGATTGTTCTCACTAAGGTACCATAAAAAGGGGGGATTCCCATTCTCCCTTTTAACCTTGCCAGGGGGTACCTTTACCAGGTGGGCATTCCCTTTCTCACCTGGTTGACCTTGCCTAGGGATCTCCTAGACCAAGGGGGAGACTTTATGACCTCCTCAGGCCACTTCCACGACGTAACTCCAACCTGGCCACTGCAAATCCCCCTTTTAAAAATTTTTAAAATGATAACTGTGGTCAATCATAGCCATCTCGGCTTCTCGTTGGCTGCTGGCCACCTTCCTGGGTGTAACCGAGTCCCAACCAGCTCAGGTTTCTGGACTAGCCCAGGTAGCTGGGGGGAGGAAATCCCTGCCACACTGCTCCAGCCCGGGGCAGCAGCAGCTTGTTCACGTCCACGCACATGGACAGACTTCAGGAGTGGGTCAATAAAGCCCCTTCCTTGTCCTTTGTGACCAAACACTCCATGTATTCACACAAAAGAAGTCAAACTGCTTTTCCCCTGAGCTGGCATTGAAGCAGTTGTTACTTCTGTAGCCCTCCCATGAGAAGTTACTTGCCTCTTGGTAAGGGTCTTTGCCAAAGGAAGCATCTGAGGATTATTCTCCTTTCCAATTTTCAAAAGCAATAAACTAAAGCTCAAGTGGCAAAAATAAACTCACTATGAGGTTATAAACAATAATTATTAAGAAAAATTTAATTATGATATGATGCCAATATTACCTGCATCAGCTGCAGCGGCTGGGGAGGGCTCCCAGGTCCACTCGGGCTCTTCTGGAAGTGGTCGAGACTCTGCGTCGTCCTCCCTTTATTTCCCGCAACCGAGGTAGGAGAAGCTGCCCTTATATAAAAACTGTCACCAGCCAGATACACCTGTCCCTCCCAACCCCTATGTCCCATGAGCAGGCATCCCTCCACGCTCCCACTCTTTGGAAGCAACACCCAGCTGCCACCACTCCTGATTTATAGGAGGCAGCGTCACCGCTGACTTGCCCGGTTGCCATTTCCCTGCGGGGCTCGGATCACTCAGACACTGCTTTTATCACCCTCTGGCTTCTCCCAGCAGAAATCCCCATGCTTAGAGGAAACCAACTTTTTAGGAACCTGTGAGAACTCCTGAAGCATCTAAATGTGCCAGGGCTGCCTGTGAGGGGAGGCAATGGAGGGAGCACCTGGGCACGGATTCAAGGAGCCTCAGAGCAGGAAACAATTTACTTCTCCCTATCATCGAGGAGCCATGGGAATTCTAATGCTCATTCCTGTTTCAATGCAGCACTAGACAAATATTTTCTTGACAAAAAGCAACAGGGAAAGGTTGCAGAAACCTGATAAACGTTGGCTTTGTTAATAAGAAACCTCAAATTGATTTCAGTTGCATCTGTAACGAGCGTCCCAAACTGACGGTAAAAAAATGAAGTTGTATCAAAACGTAGAAAGTCGACAATAAATTTCATTTTGAATAAATATCTCTTATGGTAGCTGAATGAGCCAAGGGCAGCAGAAACGTGTACTTCAAAGGAAAATCCCATCCCGCAGGGATGAAAATGTCATCCCTCAGCGGATGCCTTGGCCGGGCTTTGCAGAAGTTTCCATTGTGCAGGGCCCTGGGAAGATCTTATCTGGGGACTTTGTTCAGGTCTGGTCACCCGTGTTCATCAGGGACTGACTCGGTTGAAAACCGGGCAGCAAAGGGCTGCCGAGACGCCCGGGAAAGCAGAGAGGGGCCAGCAGCCTCGGAACAAAGACAAGCAGAGATACGATCGTTCTCCACAAACACAGGAGAGGGGTAAACGCTGGGGAGGGAGGGAGAGGAGAGCAGAGCAGAGCTTGCCACAAGGACGAACACAAGCCAATACGTCCAGGCTGAAGGTAGGAGGAGAAAGGTGCTACCATGGCAAGTGCTGGGCTAGCTTTCCCCTGGGAATACAGAAGGCAGGAAAAGTGGTCTTAGGATGCTCCTCGGAACCACACAAGTGTTTTCTGGCAGTAACAGAGAAGTGCTCTCATCAGGCAGGATGGTCCTGCAACTCATGCTTAGAATCATGGAACTGTTTAGGTTGGAAAAGAGCTTTAATACCATCAAGTCCAACCACTAGCCCAGCACTGCCAGACCCACCACTGACCTGTGTCCCTGAGCACCACATCTGCCAGGCTTTTGAACCCCTCCAGGGGTGGGGACACCACCACTGCCCTGGGCAGCCTGGGCCAGGGCTTGGCAACGCCTAACGCCCAACCTAAACCCCCTCTGGAGCAACCCAAGGCCGTTTCCTCTCGTCCTGTCGCTTGTTACCTGGGAGAGCTTCTGAGGGCTCAGACTCAATGCAGAGAAATCAGAGAAATGCTGTACGAGCTCTTGTTTTAACACACACTCAGTGCACAGTGCATTCAGCATGCTGACAACAGCCTAGCGCCAAAAACAGGGAACGAGAAAGCTGGAGCAGCAGGACGAAGTCAAAATCCACCTCCTGTGGAGGACGGAGCCCAGCTCCTGCTGAGAGTGTGGCTGCAGCGCGTGGTCAGCGGGGAAAGCCACGGGGCGATGCTGCAGCGTTCCCCCAGCTTCCTCACGGGGCTGTGCAGAGCCACAAGCAGGGTCCTCTCTTCACTGCTGATGCTCATCCCAACGTGATCTAAATGCCTGGGACAACCCATCCGTGTTTCTCCTTTTTTGTTCCTTTTCAAAGATCCTCATCCAAACGCACAAGGCCAAGCGGCCGCCATGACCATCCGTGGCGCGAAGCGTCCGGAGAGGCTGCTCCAGCCTCCTGCACGCTGCAGGAACATCGCTGCCGGCACAAGTCAGCTACTGAGCGCATACAACAGCAGATTTCCAAACGGCTTCAGACACGTTGCCGCGTGTGCAATAAACACCCGACTCGTTGCAGATGCACGACACGATGGCACGCTCAGATGGGACAATCTCACCGTTCAGCGGACGCCCGCACTCGTACCTCACGCACACGTACTGTAAACACGGGCAGCCAGCAGAGGCTCCGAGGGAAGCAGCACATTCTACACCCCGCTGGAGATATTTCTTCTCGCCACGTGTTTTTCTTATTCAGTCCTATCCTCTGCCTCCCTCTCACGCGCCGATATTTCATCCTTCCCTTGCAGCAGTGATTTAGACATCACTTACCGGGAGGCTGAATTCAGTTCTGCAGTGACAAGGGAATATATATTAAAATGAAGCATTGCGAGAAATGCTAGAAAAGATGATCACAACATAAATGCTGGGAAGTGGAAGGGTTTATGGAAAGACTAACACCCGCAGAGAAAAGACACTCAGAGCAGCCTCAGGCATTCTCAGCTTCCCTGAGCTTGCGGCTCGGAAAGATGGCAGGTTAAACAGCAACAGGACTTTGAAAGAGTAATATTAAAGTACATAAATATTATCATTTATTAAATACTATTACGTTCACTGGTATTTTTTCTCTAACGTTCAGAACCATAAAAGCCGAGGGAAAACACAGGAGAACTGCATAGACCTGCCATGAAAATGCTGAGCAACATTAAAGAAAAGAAAAAAAAAAAGAATCAGAATTTTTCCATCACTGTTGGAAGAATATCACCACATTTTTATGACAAATAGTGGTTTTGAAAGATTCCAGAGGTTTACAGACTACAGGAACACAAAGTTTCTTCATTGCTACACGGTGATTTAAAAAAAAAAAAAAAAAAAAAAACAAGTAATGCACATTACAAAATATCAAACACAAAAAAAAAATCGCACCCCCAGCCTGTAAAGTATCTTTAAAGGGCAAATAGTAGCCGCTTATTAAGAACATACATAAACTGAATCCTGTCTCTTGAGGGGAAAAATCTAAATCCGGCAGCATGAATTACACACAGTGATGGAGCTGCCTTGTACAAATATTCAGCCCGTTCTCTCACAGCGACGCTTCCTAGAGGCAAGTGGCTGCTTCCAAACAGATGCTGTGAACATTAATGAAACTGCTCAGTTCAAATGCTGATGGGAAGTAGCTGCCCTGGTGTCAACAGAAAAGCAGCTAAAGAGAGAGGAGAAAGCACTCGAGTAGGAAAACGACACAGCGGACCTCAGACTGAGCTGGGCTGCTGGGGGAACCCTCCCAGAGCCAGACCCAAAAGCTAATTTCTAGCCACAGGATTTGTCCAAACGTGAACTAAGATCTCCTAGAAACAAGCTGTAGGGTTTTAGTAAGACCTGCAGGAAGCAAACCCTCCTCAAGTTTTGGGACCAGACTTCAGCCCAGGATTGTCGGGAGCCACAGTGCCCACAGTCAGATTTCCAGCTGGTTTAGCAGCTCCCGTTTTTGGCAGCCCACAAGGGCAGAGCAGCTTAATTAATCCCAAGCCCTCCGTACGACACCGGTGAGCCTGGCCAAACCCATCCCCGGCTCGCCCTGACCCAGGGCTCCCGCTCGGCGCGCGCGCAGGGGCTCGCAGTGCGTGGGCAGACGTCAGAAGCATCCTTTCCAGACGTACCCGCGTCTGATCGCTCACCCGTGCAGGTTCCTACGCACGGAA